TGATCTTGTCCTTTCCACACTGGTGGGCTTTATGGCAGCACCTGTTCCTGTTGAGTAAGTTTTATAGGTCTAGCTCCTCCCATGTGTAACTTTGTGCTATCCTATTAATCCTAACTTGGGCTGGGAGGAGGGAGATGAAGTTATGCAAACTTCTGTACTGTAAATGCTGAACCTGCCACTTGGGACGCCAGCGACAGAGTAGCTTGGTTTCATTTGTGTGCTTTCCCTTTAAGTGAAATCTCAGGACATCTTGTGTCAGATGGCTGAAGGCCCGTCTGAGCAAGGGTCTGAACTGTCAACTTGGTCGAACTTATATCCAGTCTAATCACTGCCTGTTGTTCTGCAAACTGTAGAACTGAAGCTGATGTGTTCCCCCCCCCCCTTGTTGCATGAACTGATGATGTCCAAATGCGCATATCTAATGGTGGAAAGCAGGGGAAGATAGGAGGAGTAACGCTGCTTGTTACTTTTTGTTTTACTGTTCTCTCTTTTTTCCCCCTTTCGTGGCATTGCTTTTGTCTTCTTTTTTTAAAAACAAACAAACAAAAAGCATCTCAATGAGCTGCCACCTCAGCAGAAACCCAGACACAGAATAGATCCCGATGCAATTCCTAGCCCAGTAAGTGCGGAGTCTCTGTCTGCTATTGTCTGCATGTTGGTGACCGTCCCGTGTGTGCCTGCAAAGTAGACTTTCCCCCTTGCTAACTTCCCCGACCCCCCTGGTGTTAGCCCTCCATCATGACCCACCTCCTCTTCCTCCTCACGACATCCTGACAAACCGAATAAGGACCTTTGAACTTGAAATCCTCCTTCCATCACAAATCGAGGGGCAATAGAAGCTTGGCACTGGAAGAAGCCGATCGTGAAGTGGCGTCTTCCTTTCCTAAAATCTGCTTGATTATACACACACAAAAAATTACCTTTGAATAAAAGGGTTCTGTTTTTGTCAGTCTTACAGCGTGAATTATGAATAGGTTTTTGGTGTAAATACTAGGGATGATTTCCAGGCCAAAGTATTCCTGAGATGAACGGATATTTTCACGAAAACCACTGGAATGAATTGGAAATTCCCAGTGGTTTGTCTACATGCAGGTTATTTCTGAGCAAAAGCCCTCCTAAACATGTTTATTAATGTCAGGGATTTTATTTTTTTACAAAAATCACTGAACACTCATTTTGTGAGAGGGTCTGATTTGGTCAGCGGAAGTATTTGATTATGCAACAGGCTGTTGACTGTGGGTTCACTAATGACAGTATGGTTTGGATAAAAAAAGTCAGTACGCTTTGGCTTCTGGTAAACGTGCGAATGTGGCTTGTCTATTGCCCCTGCGTTGGTGGTGTGTGTGAGGAACGGGCTGAAGCTGGTTCAGTTGCCAACTTCAGTTCAGGTTGTAGCCTTGGCATAGGAAGGTTTCTTCTGGGCGTGGCTGAGTGGCCTTTGTGTCCAGCCTTCCCACTGGCATGATTCAGGCCGCAGCGTGGGGGAGCGGGGGTGCTCTTGCCTTGGGAGGCGTGTCAGGAAGGACAAACATAGGGAGGGAGAAGAGTGATGTTTCCAGTGGCCAATGTTCCCTCTAAGCTGAGTTAGTGTGAGCTAGCTCACAGTTTTTTAGCCTCCAGCTCACACATTTTTGTCTTAGCTCAGGAACGATGGCTCCAGAGCAAACTAATGTAGGCAGTAGGCAAATCGCTCGCCCACAACTTTAATGCCAGTAGAATTTTTGCTCACAAGTCTCCACGGCGTAGAGGGAACATTGGTGTTCACACTCAGTTGCATTACAACAGAAGAACTTGCACGGGGCCACAACCGTGTCCATATGCTTTCTCTGCAGAAGTTGCAATCCAAGGGTGGGATCTTGGTAACCTCACGGGACACCCGGCACTTGTTTTGGACGAGAATGTGAGAGAACTGGAAGCTGAGTTCTGAGTCCCAAACGCCCTCTTGGTTTATGGGCACATCTAGTATGGCTCACTCCTGCAGTCGATGTTCAGTGCTCTCTGCATTCTTGGTACTGAACAGGACTTCAGAGGTGATGTGAAGCAGGGTAGTCCCGGTTTAAGCTTGACAGGGAAGACAGTGTGGCACAAATAGCAAGAGTGCCGTGGCTGACTTGGTGTTTGGAGGAGTGTTAAGGTGTACCAGAGAGAGAAGGTCCACTGAGCTGGACCCCTCCCACTCTGCGCTCAGCCAAGCGTGGAGAAAGAAAGCTCCGCATTCAGCTGCCTGGCGTGGTGGAATACAGCACTGCAACAGAGGACAAAGAGGGTTCTCTGGAACCTTACTGGAAATCCTCAGGAGTCCACAGACAGCAGTTTGCAGAATGCAGCGGCGGGACTTTGGCACACAATCCTCAAGCTTGGCTAAGTGCAGTGGCAACAAAAAGCGATTCAGGTGAATTTGGGCCGGATTTAGGGTCATGGGCCTCTTGTCTGGGAAGACAGGCTTGGTCATGCCAGTTGTCTCGCTGTCTTTTAGCAGGTCGTTGTCTTCTCCTTACACCTGGTAAATTCAAATGTATCGGAACTTAAAAGCCGTGTGCCGTTTTCTATTTAGCGATTTATTGTAAATCCTGTTGGCTGCAGCTTAATTTGTAAGCTGCGTTGATCAGTTTTTGCAGAGTATCACTGCACATTCCTGACTTTCTGCCTCCTACTCCATAGATCCAAGTCATTGAAGATGACAGGAATAATCGCGGATCGGAGCCATTCGTCACAGGAGTCCGTGGGCAAGTCCCGCCCCTTGTCACTACCAATTTTTTGGTCAAAGATCAAGGTAAAATGATGTTCACTCAGGCAAGGAGGAGCGAAAAAGAAAACAGAGCTGCTCCTCAGCAGGGACACGGGGCTTCTAGCATCCGAGGGCACTTTTCAGCACAGGTGGACGCTTTGCTCAGTGTCCCTTGTGGACCGCCTCCCCTCCCTCTGTCCCCTGAGCATCCTGCCTCGGGGTAGCCAGTTCCGTTTTACTGTACCAGCATGAGAGATGCCAAGGGGCTGAGGTAGGCAGAGGTAGGCAGAGAAACGGTGTTTCTCTGTAAGGCCAGCGTATGCCAGAGCCTCTGCCCCCTTTGCCAGGAAAGCCAGCCTTAGAACTGTCACGTGCTCTGGAACTTTCGAAGCCAGTTGGCTTATCGTGCCATGAAGTCTGAAAGAGGGCGGCTCCTTTGCCGGTCCAGGTACTGATTCTGTCATCTGAGCGTACGGCTTGCCACTTGACATCAGGGCTTGCATGGATGGGTGGCGAGCCTAATACAAATCTAAGCCTGTAAAATTGCTGTGTGTGCGTAAGGGCCAGGGGAGGAGGGGCCACCCATCCACTGACGGGCTTCTGGGGGGGTCCCTTTCTAAAGCCGCGAGGGACCGCCTAGCCTGATGTGCGGTGGGCGTGGCGGGGAGTCCCAGCAGCTTCCCGAAAAGCGTGCCGGTGGGTATTGAGCGAGTCCCAGCATTCAGCTTTGCCCTCCGTCCTGCCTGTAAGGTGGTGATGCCTGCGGTGCCCTTTCCCTTCGTGGTCTTGGGGTTCTTCGACACTCTGCACGGCTGGCATCATCGGCTCCGCTCCACACCTGTGCTGGGCTCCTATCCTGCCACGCTGTTTGAGGCTTCACCGGGTGTGTCACACGATGTGCTGCCCCTCTGCAACAGAACATCAGTGCCGTCATCTCTCCACCGTTTCTCTTTTTGGAGTGGGGAGTGGCCGTGGTTCAGCGGCAGAGGCCCCCCCCCCACTGGGCTTGCAGGAGGCCCCGGATCCCACCCTCGGCATCGCCATGTCTTAAGAGGCTTGGGTAGTGGGCAGTATGAAAAGATTGCTGCCTGAGACCCTAGAAAGCGGCTGCTAGGCAGGTTCGTGTGTCCTGCCGGGAGTGGTTGCCAGAAAGGATCCCATAGAGTACTTTCCCCCATGATAGCTGCTGGAAGGTTAATAATAATAATAATAATAATAATAATAATAATAATAATAATAATAATAATAATAATAATAATAATAATAATAATAATAATAATAATAATAATAATAATAATACTTTCAATTTATTAATCGCTTTCCCCAGTGGGCTCAAAGCAATGTA